AATAAACGTAATACATCACATAAACAAGTTGAAAGATAAAAATCATATAGTCATATCAATTGATGCAGAAAAAGCATTTGATAAAATCCAACACCCTTTCCTGATAAAAACTCTCAACAAGGTGGGAGTACAAGGATCATACCTCAACATAATAAAAGCTATATATGATAAACCCACAGCCAACATCATACTCAATGGGCAAAAACTAAAACCATTCCCTCTAAGAACAGGAACAAGACAGGGATGCCCACTTTCACAACTCCTCTTTGACATAGTACTGGAAGTACTAGCCATTGCAATTAGACAAGAGGAGGAAATAAAAGGCATCCAAATTGGAAAAGAAGAAGTAAAGCTATCCTTATTTGCAGATGACATGATATTGTACATAAAAAACGCAAAAGACTCCATTAAAAAACTAATTGGCTTAATAAATGAATTTGGCAATGTAGCAGGATACAAAATTAACGCCAAGAAATCTATGGCATTTCTATACACCAACAGCGAATTTATAGAAACAGAGACTAAAAAAGCAATTCTATTTACCATTGCACCAAAAAAATTAAGATACCTAGGAATAAATTTAACTAAGGAAGTAAAGGACCTATATGCGGAAAACTACACGACAATGAAAAAAGAGATAGAGGAAGATGTAAGGAGATGGAAGAACATATCATGTTCATGGATTGGTAGAATCAACATCATCAAAATGTCCATACTTCCTAAAGCAATCTATAGGTTCAATGCATTCCCCATTAAAATACCAACGGCATACTTCACTGACCTAGAAAGAACTCTCCAAAAGTTCATTTGGAACAGTAAAAGACCCCGAATAGCCACAGCAATCCTGAGAAAGAAGAGTAAAGTAGGAGGGATCTCAATACCAGACTTCAAACTGTATTTCAAAGCCACTGTTCTCAAAACAGCCTGGTACTGGCACAAAAACAGACATATAGATCAATGGAATCGAATCTAGAACCCAGATATCAACCCAAATCACTATGCTCAATTAATATTTGACAAAGGAGGCACGAATATACAATGGAGTCAAGACAGTCTCTTCAATAAATGGTGTTGGGAAAATTGGGCAGATACATGCAAAAGAATGAAACTGGATCACCAACTTACACCATACACAAAAATAAACTCAAAATGGATACAGGACTTAAACATCAGACGGGAAACCATAAAAATACTAGAAGCATCCAAGGGCAGCAAAATCTCAGACATATGCCAAAATAACTTCTTCACTGATACTGCCCCTAGGGCAATGGAAGCTAAAGAGAAAATAAACAAATGGGACTACATCAAAATAAAAAGCTTTCTTACAGCAAAAGAAACCATCAACAAAACAACAAGAAAGCCCACAATGTGGGAGAACATATTTGCAAATGTTACCACTGATAAAGGTTTAATCTCCAACATCTACAAACAGCTTATACAACTAAATAAAAGGAAGATGAATGATCCAATTAAAAAATGGGCAATGGACCTAAATAGAATATTTCCAAAAGAAGACAGAAGGAAGGCCAAAAGGCATATGAAAACATGCTCAAAGTCACTAATTATCCGAGAGATACAAATCAAAACAACAATGCAATACCATCTCACACCTGTCAGAATGGCCAACATCAACAGATCAAGAAACGACAGGTGTTGGCGAGGCTGTGGAGAAAAGGGAACCCTCGTGCACTGCTGGTGGGAATGCAGACTGGTGCAACCACTGTGGAGAACAGTGTGGCATTTCCTCAAAAAACTGAAAATGGAACTCCCATTTGACCCAGTAATCCCACTCCTAGGAATATATCCCAAGAAACTAGAAACACCAATCAGAAAGGATATATGCACCCCTATGTTCATAGCAGCACAATCTACAATAGCTAGAATTTGGAAACAGCCTAGATGCCCATCAGCAGATGATTGGATCCAAAAACTTTAGTACATCTACACAATGGAATACTATGCTGCCATAAAAAAGAAGGAATTCTCATCATTTGCAGCAACTTGGATGGAAATGGATAACATCATGCTGAGTGAAATAAGCCAGTGATTGAAAGAAAAACACCACATGACCTCACTCATTTGTGGATAAAAAAGAACATTATAAACTGATGAACCAAAAGATAGATATAGAGACAGTATATCAATAAGCAGACTGTCAAATTACAGCGGGGAGGGGAGGAAGATCTGGGGGAGATAATAGATCAACCGAAGGACTTTTATACTTGCACATAAGTACAACCAATGGACATAAAACTCTGGGGAGGGAGGGGATGTGAGGGAGGGAGGGAGGAGGGGCAAAAAAAAAAATCAAAAAATATATATATATTAAAAAAAAAAAAAAAAGACTGAAGAAAGGACCTCTTTTCCACTATTTCGAATGCTTAATAGCTAATTTCATAACATCACATGTACCATTTTAAGAAAGTGATGATTTAGTGGGAAATTAAAGCTTTGCATCTGTATACTGAAAATATAAATGACGATTTGTTTGAAATGTGTAACTTGGATATGCAAAAGATAATAACTCACAATGTTAATATTAAATATTCCTTCAAAATAAAAAAAACAAAAACAAAAACAAAACAAAAAAAAACCTTTTGCTCCAGCCCTAACCGGTTTGGCTTAGTATATAGAGCATTGGCCTGCAGATTGAAAGGTACCAGGTTCGATTCAAATCAAGGGCATGTACCTTGGTTGCAGGCCCATCCCCAGAAGGGGCTGTGCAGGAGGCAGCTCATTGATGTTTCTTTCTCATTGATGTTTCTAACTCTCTATCCTTCTCCCTTCCTCTCTGTAAAAAAACAATAAAATATATTTTAAAAATAAAATACTTAAAAAAACTTTGCTCAACTAAAAGTTTCCTTGTTGTATTTTATACTTTGAAAAGTATTTATAAATTAACATTTTAAGTGATCCTTTTCATTGTTGACTTATAAAACATTCATAAACAAAATTTCTCAGAAATGTGCTGTGGTCTGCTGTAGTAACAATAGAAATAACCAAACAAAATAGCTTAAAATGTTTTATTAAGTATATGTAATATTACAGGGTAATATTTACAAAGTTATGTTTTTTTAAATAAAAAAAAGTACCTTGGCAAAGATTGCAGATATTCAAAGCTTCAACAGTGATAACTGATTTAATACATATATATATATATATATATATATTAAAAAAAAAAAAAACCTTTAACGGTAATACAGCTGTAAAACAACTTTGGTCTTTAAATCACTTCAGAAAATGGCTACTGACAAATAGCACACCTTTATTTGCTATGGAAAAAGCCCCTAAAAGAGGATCTTGCACATAGCAACACTTGAGTTTTCTTTATTTAAATTGGTTAGTTGGACATTCATCTGGTGTGGGATGTAATTCTCAAAAATGGCTTTTGTAAATAATGCTTCATTTAATAAAAACAGAAATATCTTCCTTTCTCACCAACCCCAATAACAACACATTTAAGATTCCACTGACATTGCCTTACAGAGAAGCTTAGTACAAATGCTCTTTTTTTCCCCCCTAAAAGATAAATTTATGAGAAAGCTGGTCTTAAATGATAAGTAAGAGCTGTCAAAAACCAAAGGCAGGGAACTGCCCATTCACTGTTCATCTCTTGAAAGGTACCTGGATTATCCCTTTTAGCCATGGATACTCACAAAGGACCCAGTGGGAGTTAGTGATTTTGAAAATACAACACATGTAAAACTTTCTGAACATACTCACCATCAAATAAACCATCATAAAAAGATAAACGGTTGCCCAACAATCATTTCTCTAGTTTCCAGATAAAGGGGATGTATTTCCATACATAACATGGCCGATGTCTATTTTTAAATACTCACTTTGGGACAAGAGAAATTTAAGGTAGAATAGAACATAATTCTTATTGAGATGAAAAAGTAAACTCATCAGTTCTGAGCTTTATTAACTCAAACCACAATTTGTTGACTTATTGAAGTGACTACAGCATCCTGCAAAGAGCAATACTTCTGATTATGGGCTAGCCTCATTATTTTATTCTGACATTCTCAGAAATTTTAAACAGAATGAACCTGGAGTTTCCAGGTAAAAAAATCACCACCTCTGAAGGTTTTCAGAATATGTCAAATTTGTCCTAAAATTTACTTGCTCACCCTATTAAAAAGAGTGGGACATTATATACAACCAACTCTCAATCATCAAATATATACTGCATATCTTAATGTATGACACAGGGAAAAGAAGGGGGGGGGGAGCTCTTGCTATGGAGAAATTTTCAAATCAAATGAGAGAAATGGGGAGGAAGGGCTGAAAGATAATGTTTTGAGGCAGAGGGAAAATTTCATTTGGCCAAAGGTTGAAACGGTTGTTGCAAAAATGAAAAATGGCATCGCTCTTAGAACATATAATAAAACTGAACAGAAGAATCAATGGAAAAAAATTGGTTCAGTGAGTAAAAAGCAGATTATGGGGGGAAACAGATATCTGATGCCCAAAACATTGCTAGCTATTTGAATTAGGTGAGACAGAAAGTTGGGAGCCATGACAATCTGATTGAATGAGAATGAACTGGCCCAATGATGCCCAAGCAAGAGGGATGCTGCTGTTGTGGTCCCTTTTCCAGAGAAGCTGACAACTACTCAGAACAAGACTTGCTTTCACCTGCCATTTATCCTGCTATCTCTCTGCCTTGTCTCATACAGTGAATGCCTCCAAAGACAGGCAGCACTAAAGAGAACACAAAGGATGGATAAGTCCCAGTTGAACCCCAAATAAAGGAGAGCTTACCGCATATTAAAAGGTACAATGTTAGTGTATAAAAAAGTTCACTATAAAGATTTTCATAGCTGACTTCTTAATAGAGAATAAGAATTTGGATCTTTTTCAAGTCCATCTGCTTTTTTCCTCCTTTCATTGAAATTGTTTTCTAAAGTAACAAACAATATTCATAAAGTATAAATATTTTCAAAAAAAAAAAGCAGCAGGAGCCATGCAAGTTGTAAAAAGGAATACAGCTCCCTCTACATAATATAATATTTTGGACAGCAAGACAAATAGGGAAAATTTTGTTTTCTTTTTTTCTTTTTTTTTTCAAGAAGTGCTGTCTTCATAGTGTGTTCAGTTTTCTGAGAGGCATCACAGGTCATAAATTCTGGTGTGCCCTGGGCAAACCACTTGGTCCCAACATGAAATATGACAATCAATTTGACATTAAAGAGGCACATGGAACATTCAGTGGACTGAGAAATAACTATTCGTAATACGACTACAAATAGTAATGTCTTATTACTACACAAGCAGGAAGAATCACTAGTATTTTTAGAGGGCATTGGTAAGCAGTCAAAAGACTTGGCATCTGACCTAGAAGTTTTAAAAGTTTTCAGTGATCAAATATTCTCATCAAATATAATCCCACTCAATAAAGATCTTTGTTTTTAAGTGTTTTTGCTAAAAGTATGAATTAGCATTTGCTCCCCTGTAGGTACCCCACTGTTGTTTGTACAGAAGAAGCATGTGCCTGTCTTATACATGTGCACACACAAATACACACCCACAAAGGAGGAAAACGAGTGCTAATAACCTAAACATTCTCCAGGTGACCACACTGTCAGAACGTTAATTTTCTTCTAACGGCTAGAAAATGGGGGTTTTGTTTTACTTTTCAATCGTGGAGTCAGGGGGATATGAGGCAGGACACAGAGGAAGATGATGAGTGTATATCATGCAACATAGGTACAGTAGCCATAGAACCACCCTTTCGAGGGCTGGTCTATTGGCCCGACAGTGACACGCACTTGGTTACCATGCAGGGGACACATAGTTAAAACCTCCATCTTGGTTTTTCATGCCTCAGATCAGAAGAGAAGTGAAGAAACACCACAGACTGTGTGCCTTCAAAGCCAAGGAAGGGAATACATATGCTATAGCCATCGCTACTTTCGCTGAAACGTGTGAACATGGTTCTCTGAGAACAAGTTTGACTTCTTTCTGCAATGACGCTGCCATGTCACTGAATCATGTCCAAAGAGGAGAAAAGGTGCTACATCTTGCACAGCAGAAGCAAACATCAGGGGGACAAGACAGGGTTGAAAGGTTGTGTGAATAAAAGAAAAAGACATCCATCAATAAAATCACCCTAAATCTATTGAAGAATGTATGAATGGCAACCCCCAAGAATGAACACCACGATCTCCAAGAGTATCACATCGCACAAAAGCAACACACAAATGTTTCCAACTAAATTCCTGCCTATACTTAATTTGCTATTCTCTTGATGTAGAAGTGGCAGACACATTATTCGGATAACACCGTAACTTCCAAAGTGGCTATGAACCTGAGTTTGCTAAGGTTCGAAGGAAGCCACCATTTTTCAGTGACATCTCTGGGTAACCACCAGGTTAGTCCCAGGTAATTCTCCCGTTGAACCAATTTACACTGGAAACCAAAAGTCAAGAGGTCCTAGGATATGAAAGGTGTCATTCTTGGAAGTTGCCCACTCTACTTTTGCCCCTAATTGAAGAAAATTAACAATAAAAAACTGGATATCAATTGGGCACACAACACAGATTATAACTCTTTTATTAACTAAATCAAATGCTTTGAATAAAAACTTAACTATAATAATCATTTAAAACTCAATGATTTATTTTCTCTTGTAGGTGAGAGTCACTTTTCTTGTTTTCTTCTCTTGAACAGTGAGTGAGTCAAGGTCAGGGTCCTTAAACATAAGTGCATTCCTTTCACATCTTAATACTCTGCAAGTGAGAGTCCATCACTTCAATTCAGTTATTCTGAAAAATTGAGAAATGAACATGTAATGTGTCTATTTTTTTATGCATTAACAAGTTGATTTATCTTAAAAATTTGAAGTTGCTTCAGATATATATCTAAAAATAAAGGATTTAATCTTAGGTTTGCAAAGGTCACAGGTATAAGGCAGGCAGATCATTAGCCATTTTTGTGGCATTAAGGGAAAGGGCAATGCCAAATGAGAATAAGGATCAACCAAGTCTGATCACTTTCATTTGCAGGATTAGCTGAGAACAAACCAAGGGATGCTGATTTTGTAAAGGAAAAGGTACTGCTCATAGAATATAGAATATTATTCCATCGCATTCAATTTATATTTGTATCATTCATTTAATGCAAGTGAGATAAAGATGTGATTACTAGGTATAAATCAAAGATGAAACGGTCCCAAGGAGAGTACTTTGTACCTCAGTCATGGAAGAGGCAGACACACAGTGAGCATCATGCTGTTAGCTGTCACCTCAATGATACCACCAGACAGACAATTAAAATTAACTGACAAATTCTGTACAGCTAAATATTAGCACAATTAAGGACATTTCAAAGGTCATTATAGATTTTATGTACTATGAACAAACAAAAACTGATTTATATTCTGATATAGTGGTTCAAAAAAGAAGTCACATCTTAAGGGAAATTAACAAAGGAAAAGGTACTCAAAGTTTTATACCGGGTTTTTTGTTTTTGTTTTTTACCATGGGGGAAAGGGGTTTCATTTCTCTATTCAATTAAAGAAGAATGACTCCACAATAAAAAAGGGAAGAACAAAAAATTAAAAATATAGGACACAAGAATGAAAGCATGAGCGAACAATGACACAATTCCACGAACCAGTTCGCTGTTTAAAACCATTTCGTTTATTCCTACTAACTACGTTATTTTTGGAGGGCCGTAGTTAGTATAATATAAAACGTGCATGTTTGTAATAAAGGCTGTGACACACAGCTATAAAAATGGGATAATTCTGTGCCTCCTTGTTGAACACAGCCTGAACATTGTTTTAAACTTAATCCACTAACATATATTGGGTGTGATTTTACTCTTAGGCAAACATTGATTGTCCAGTGGAATGCAGCCTCTTGAGTTAATGCTTCACTTTTACTAGAAAGGTGAGCAGGTAGTCACAGACTTTAAAACAGTAAAATGAAAAGTTGACTATTTGCTTGACCAAGACATGACAGTAAATACTAAACATATGAAGAAGTTTTTGACAAGGTAAAAGCACATTAAAGTGTAAATAGAAATAAATGAATACTTATAGCACTCAATATCTCTGACTTCTTTAACAAATGTATGTGTTTGAAATATTTAATAAAAATTTTAAATTGTTAGCCCAAAGTCTCCCCAGCAAAAAGAAAAAACTGGAGTGGCCAAAATTTCTCTCTCTTTCTCTTTTTATTTATTTAATAGAGGCCTGCTGCATGAATTAATGCACAGGTGGGTCCCTTGGCCTGGCTGGTGATCGGGCTGATCGGGACCCTCTTGCCCAGTTCCAATAAGGACTCATTGGGCTGGCTGGCCAGGGGTAGGAACCACGGGAGGTTGGGGGTGGGGGAGAGAAGGAACTGTGGGAGGGTGGCTGTGGGGGCACACTGACCATCCAGCCAGCTGGGGGAAGGGACTACAGGAGGTTGGCTGGCCATGGGAGATTGGCTGTGGGAGCACACTGACCACCCGGTGGCTGCTCTTGCATTGAGTGTCTGCCCTCTGGTGGTCAGTGCATGTCATAAGAACCAGTCTTTTGGTTAACCAGTGGTAACAGTTGCTTAGGCTTTTATATATATATATAGACTAGAGGCCTGGTGCACAGAATTCGTGCACAGGAGAGGTATCCCTCAGTCCAGCCTATACGCTCTCCAATATGGGACCCCATGAGGGACTGCCTGTTTAGGCCTAGGATAAGTGTGGTCAGACATCCCTCTCACAATTCAGGGTTGTTGGCTCCCAACCACTTGCCTGGCTCTGCCTGATTGCCCCTAACTGTTTCTACCTGCCAGCCTGATCACCCCTAACTACTACTCTGCCAGCCTGATTGATACCTAACTGTTCCCCAGCTGAACCAATTGACCCTAACTGCCCACCCCTGCTAACCTGGTCACCCCTAACTGCACTCCCTAGCAGGCCTGTCCTCCTCCAACTGCTCTTCCCTGCAATCCTGGTCTCCCCCAACTGCCCTCCCCAAATTCCCTCCCCTGCAGTCCTGGTCTCCCCTGCTGACCTGGTCTCCCCCAACTGCCCTCCCCTGCTTGCCTGATCGCCCACAGCTGCCCTCCCCTGCAGGCCTGGTCCCCCCAACTGCCCTCCCTTGAGAGCCATCTTGTGGTGGCCATCTTGTGTCCACATGGGGAGCCATCTTTGACCACATGGGGGCAGCCATCTTGTGTCTTGGGGTGACAGTCAATTTGCCTATTACTCTTTCATTAGATAGGATTTTTAAGGGAGGGCAGGGAAGAGTTGGTCTTCATTTGTTTTTAACACTTTTTTTGTTGATTTCCAGAGAGAGAGAAAGGGAGAGGGGCAGAGAGATAGAAGCATCTATGAGAGTGAAACATCATGGATTGAGTGCCTCCTGCTCTAGGGATCAAGCCCACAACTTAAGCACGTGTAGAACCAGTGATTTCTTGGTTCCTAGGTGGGTACTCAACTGCCGAGTCACACCCACCATTTCCTCTCTCTTCTTTTAAACCCTCTCCCTAATGGTTAGAATCAAGTTCCTTTGTGGAAAAGCAGAGATATTAAGCTGCCATGGGTTAAATGCAACAAAATCACCAACACAAGCACAAAGGGAACTCTGTCAAGATTATAAAGATTTGTGCCAGATTATCTACGTGTCACATAAAAACCATTTTACAGTAACCGTCACTATACCAGAAAGGTGTTTTTTAAAAAACAGTAGTTTCTCTTTGCTGTAGCAGTACGACTGGAGAGCTGATGAGTGACACCCTACAGCTTTTATATGATTAGTGGTGCAATTTTATCAGAGTAGATTTAACTTTTATAAATCCAGACATGCAAACCTTTATGTTTTGACAGAGTCCTTTTTATTTAAAATGCCGTATTTCCAAGAAGCAATTTTATTTCTTTTCAATGTCCATATTTAATCAATCTATAATTGTATGTGCTTTTTATACTTACCATCATTCATCATTCCTTTTGATTCTTTAAATGCTAAGAATTAGTAACAAGCCAAGCAAGCGATTAGAAAGGTTCCACAATTAAAAATCATTTCTAATAAACAACTAGGTAGTAATATCATCCCAACTATTTCACAGCTATAAATACAAATTAATTTTAAGGCATTTGATTACAATGCCTTTCTGTGGATCATACCCACAGCTCCCCACAGAGGAAATAGTTGAGAAAATAAATCTAGATTTAGGGAGAAAGTGAAATGCTTTGGTCTCACTCCACGGTGAGAGGCCATATCTTACTAAAATTTATAAACCAGAAATTACAGCTAATTGAGTTTCTTCTATATTGGGGGCACTACAGCACTTCATCTTGGCCAATATAAAAAAAACAGTAATCCCCTTGCCCAATATCACTTGGCTAATGCATGCAACTACTTGGGAGACACAGAGCAGTGCATTTTTCTCAGAGGTGAGAACATTACAAAATAATACTCTTGATGCTTGATTAATAATTAAAAAAGAGAGATCAAGGAAGAAGAAAAAAAAAGCTCTGGATTTTTCCCAAAGCATAGACAAAACTGCTTTGGGGATCAGTTCAAATTATGATCTGGTAACGGATCAGAAAAATATGCAAATTTGGAATAATCACATACCATTAAGGGGTTCCTCTACAGCTTTCTGAAAAATATGTAAAATACAATTATATAAAAATAGAATCAATTTCATGTCCTTCATAATGAAATTTATATATGCTAACATTTAAACTATATAGTAAACAGTGAATCCTATGGTCTAAAAGCAATGCAATAAAGGTTAAAAAGCAAAGCTTGCCAAGTCTCACCAATTGTTTAATAATAACTGTCTTATTCTCAACAATATTTTTATATGCAGAATTTCCCACCCCACCTGATATCTAGTCAAGAAAACCTAACTTCTTGAAAAATGTACTAAAGTCGAAAATAAAGAGCAACATAATAAATAGGACAGTTAAACAAGAGATAAGAGCAAAACAATCATTTGTAAGTCATGCAAAGAAAATGTATTAGGATTTAATGGTGTAATGGCTGGATAATCTCTAACAGAGGCACAAGAAAAACTTCTGTGTGTTTGTGTAGCTATGGCACCCTTCTCAGAATAAACACCCATGGTAGAGCACCCCTGCTCCCCCTTGCCTTTCAGGTATATCTGCTGGGGCTTGTCAGAACTAGCAGCATTTGCAATCCCCACTTCCTGCCACACAGGAGTCTCACCTGTGGCATTGCAGGTACAGCTATCATTAAATCCTTTATGGGAAGATTAGTACAATACATCACATTCCCGGTCTTATTTGCATAGAGTAGCTTTTGTTCCTGTCACCACATCTCTCTTTATAAAGTTTTTCTTTTAACCCATCTCATTTATTTCTCTCAGTTTATCTCCTAAATTTACTCCTTTTCTTAAAATTTTCTCAGATAGTTTAATAAGATATCCACGATACAGTGAAAATGACAATACAATGTGGAGGAAGGAAAATGCTTATAAAATGAAGGAAATGAATCATAATTCAGAACAGATACTTTAAAGCAACATTTGCATTTATTTTATATATTATTTTAAGTAAAATCATTTTAATATAAGTTTATCCCCCATTTTAAGCCTGAAATACTGTTTTGATAAGCACATCAAATTAATCCAACAGGTAAGGAGATATACTGGAGTCAGCTTTCCTTCAGCAGAGACAATGACTGTTATTTTTACACATAAACTTTTCAGTACAGGATATGAGAAGTCTGATTATTTATATCCCATTGCTACTAAATGACCAAACAAGTTTTAAAATAGAATTGGGTATATTTATGCAAACATTATGAAATGTCTTCATCATTCTTTTAAATTGATCTTACATTAAACAGACAGCAAAAGAGTTCAAGATCTCAGTTATCATTGCTCATTCGAAACAATCAAGTGATCAGCCCCAATTCATTTAAGAAATTGTGACTTACCCTAGGAGGCTGAATAGCCCTCTGATTGGAAGCTGGTAAAATTAAAACGTAAGAAAATGATCAATAAATTAATGAAAGAAATTAAGCCAATGTACTGTTTAGTTTTAAAATAAAATGTTCAGGGCTAAAATTAGAAGTGCCAAAAAGTTCATTGAGTTTCAGTTTTTATCAAAAAGTTTTATCATTGAGTTTCAGTTTTTATCTATTTAAAAAATACAGAATCTTTGCCTAGCTGGGGTTGCTCAGTGGTTGAGCATCAGCCCATGAATCAGGAGTTCATGGTTCCATTTCTGGTAAGGACACACACCAGGGTTTCAAGCTCAATTCCAGGTAGGGGGTTTGCAGGAGGCATCCAATAGGTGATTCTCTCTCATCATTGGCATTTCTCTCTCTCTCTCTCTCTCTCTCTCTCTCTCTCTCTCTCTCTCTCTCTCTCTTCTCTCTCTCTCATTCTTCCTTCATCTCTAATATCAATAAAAATATATTTTAAAAATACAGAATGTTCTGAATTATATGAATTGACAAATTAAAATGTTGCAAATAATCCACTTGCATCAAATAATAAACATATCCATCTGCTCACTTGCATATACCATATCTCCCCCACTTTGTGGTGGAAAAATGCTGTCATCTACTCACCCCATGTGGACTTAACATCCTCCCTAATAAGGGGGCAGAATGCGACAGAGACCAATCTCTGCCTTTACTCCATCAACCACCCTTAGCTCACTGCTCTTGTTCCTTGTAGCCAAGTCTTCTTTTTCCTTTTTTTCATCTTTCCAGTTTTCAAAGCTCCAAGTAGGTAACAAATGAAAGAAAATATTCAGATTCCTCTGAGTTTAAAGAGTTAGTTTCAGCTACAGACAAGTCTTTCTCTGTGTTCCTAGCTTACCCTTCACTGCTTCAGAATGGATTGGTTAATGAAGATGAAGGAATATAGAGCATGAAGAATGTGACAAAGGGGAAAACAAAACAAAACAAACAAAAAAACTGTTCTAAGTATATAAAGAAGAGAGAGCTTCCCTACAAAATCCAAGTTGAGGAGTACCCAGAGCAGCTAAAACCAGTCTTAAATACAGAATCAGAGTCCTGCAGATACAAAAGCCTCATCCAGCAATATCCTGTGAATGACTCTGTAGGAGGAGGATGCTACCAGTTAGAGTAGTCAACCCGACTGCTCTCTTAATTGGATGACAGCACTGGATTTGCTTATTAGTAGACTGAGGCAGGCCCCAAAACTTCTCTAAGGTTCTTTGCTATTTATTTACTATCTTTTTTCCAGACCCACTTTATGAAGCTCCCAAAACTGATAGGAAATGTGATCAGGGAAAATGACTGCTGACTGTCCTGGGAAGCTTCTTTCTTCCCCTGAAATCTGAAGGGAGAGTATCAGATAAAGAGTGGAAAGTTGGCGATGATAAAGGAAGGTGACAAGGGAAGTAAGCAAGGAGAAGCTCAAAGTTTATAGCTCTCAGTAAGAAAAGCTATCAGTGAGAAGACATAAATAGGATGAAGAATAAGAACCTAAAAAGGAGAGGATGAACTAGTTGGCTAGCAGGCAAAGAACCACAGAGAGAGGAACCAAGCAACCATAACTGGCAGTAGGGCTAACTGACTCTTGTTCCTGAAAGGGCAGCACGATGAGTCAGTCCTAGGAGTCATACTGGATCCTTCCATTTCCTGAACAACCTACCGTTCCTCTCTCTGTGAGGCCCACTTATGTACCTGATCCCATGAGATTCCTATCACTGTTACTGTCATTTTAAATAAAGCTCCCTCACTGGAGGTACACAGAAAGTAGTTTGGTCCTTGCAACTAATCAAGAAGAAAACCTATTTTTATAGTACTCTGGAGAGAAATGGGTTTGGCAACATTAGTGAATTCACATTTAGCAACTTTCCAAATGGACCAGGCAGAATTACAGAACTTTATTAGGCCCATCATGACTGCCATATGTATATAACTCACTTTAACTAAGCCATGCCCTCTATCTATGTCCCATCCAAGAAAATTACTGATTGTTAAAGTGAAGGGTCCGAGGTCAGATTTTAGAGTTATATTTTTGAGCTCAGAACTTTATTCATCAGAATGGGTAATAAGAACTGCCAAATCGCTCCTTTTCTATCCTAATCACATATAAAGAATAGTTTATGAGTTCCAGTTCTCAGGCACTAGGAACATCAGATTTGCCAAGAGCATTCTGAAAAAAGGAAAGAAAGAAAAAAAAAAGGGGGGGGGGAGATCTATAAAGAGCAGTGATTCAAAGGGACATAAGTCAGCTGTGGACCCTTTAATATAATAAAGCCAAATAGCACAAAAGTTAATTTTCCTGAGTTAATCCTCTCCAATAAGCATCTGACCTATGAAACAGAAGAATGACTGTAATGTATCTGCAGCCACTATGGGCCTAAGGCATCAACAGCCGCATTTACATCATTTTAAAACCACAAAGCCTTAAGCATTTCATGTGATCGCACTTGAAATGTTTTGACTTATTCTTCTCTCCCTGAAACACTTGACACATACCATAAATATAATTCTAGTTTGTAAATTTTCAGAAATACTTTTTCTATTAATACCAGAATTCACCTTACCTCCACAATGGACAAGACAATTTCACTAAAAATTTTATATAGATATCTTTCTATTCCATGTCATTCTAATATTTCTGAGATGTGGTCAATATGGTTTATGAATGGTACTAGGTTGGTTTGTATCAAAACATGATTATAGTTCTAATACTGGTAATGGCTTTAAAAACTTAACAAGTATATACACATCCTGTATAAATAGCATGCTTAACTTGATAGAGTTCCTTTTAATTTTTTAATATGCTCTCATATTATCATTGTTTCCAGTGCCTAACTTCATTTTGTAAAATTTAAATGCTTTCATGAAATAGAATCCAACACAGTTAAAGAAGAAGACCAGAAAAAAGGAAAGTAAAATCCTACTCCTTAAAGTAACAGGTAAGGGTACAAATTTAAACTTGGAAATAATGTAAATGATCAAGTTAAACTTCTCAGACGAACATTAACTTAATCTCAAAAAGATAGCTTGGAATTTATTTTTATTTTTAATTTTTATTTGTTTTGTAACTATCAGAAGATTTTATTGCATTTAAGTTGAGAAATATTCATTAGTCTTTTTCAAAACAGAGCATCTGCAATGAGTAAAAGTTTTTCTGGAAACATTTACAATTTTTACTTCCTGTTTCAAATGCTCAAATTTGCAACCTTAATGTTACACGTACTCAGCTTCACAGACTCTACAAGAAACACACATCCATTTTCTTAGTCTACAGCAGCATCTACAGAGCAGCGTTCCTGTACCTTTGCTCTTCTTGCCCTTCAACTGAAGGCAGGGGTGCCTCTGAGCTCTGGCATCAGGCAGGTTGATGTGAAAAGGTAATTTAGAATATTCTCACCATGTCAATAAAATGGGTTAAATTCTTAATTTACACATGGCATATGTAACTATGATAGATAAAAAATAACCTGGTGACTTTTCATAATCTCCCTTTGCTCTTCATGGGAGAACAATGTGTTTGTAATTTTATGGTTTCACATAAAAATTATGTGAGATGGAGGTGTTGGAATGGAGAAGGGGGGAGAGCAAGGTCAAGGGGGTGGCAGCTAGACAATGCCCGTTTCCACTTGAGTCAGCATCTCCAGACCTATTGGCAACTGTACTGCACATCCTTCTTTGTTGGATATAAAAGGCATGGGGGTGTGGCAATAAAAGGGACGGCAAATCAGATAATGTAAGGGGGAAAAATAACAAAGATCTGACCATCAGTGTGTGACACTTAATACTACATAATGCTGTGTGGATACTGTAGCTCACATACTGTTCTCAGGCATTCACAGGGAGCAACATAATCAGCAGTTCCACTTTCCAGAACCAGACAAATGGTGATTACAAGGAAGATTCAACAAAAATAGAATATGTATCAACATTCATAATGTGATGCTTGTGATAGCTACCAAATGCTTTATAAGCCTTAGTTGTATTTTAAGAAATTATGAGGCAAGAACTGAGAAAATTTCAGTGACAAAACTACTCTGATTTCATGAACACATAAACTAAAGGTAGGTAAATTTTATGTAAGTACTGTGTTTTAATTGTTTAATAAGCATTAATTAAAGGGAGACAAAGAATATATAAGAGAACCGAACTCTATGACCAATCAGCAAAAGCTGAAGTTCAAAAATAAAGATAAAATTTCTTTGAACGTACTATACAAGTCATATGAAAATTACTTGACTATTTGAATTTGCTTAATTCAAAAATTATTTGAATAACTCAAGTTTTATATGAATTTTTATAAACACATAAATTATGCCTAAAGTAAAGCACAAAGACAGATTTTTTTACTTCTTTAGTTTGTAACTTTTGATATTTTGATAAATGTTTAAGAATTTGCTTTACTTCATAAATTTAGAGTTTAAAAAAAACACTAGGCAAAATGAGATCGTAGAGAAAATCTTTAGGCACTTATTATTATGAGCACGTATCTCATTATATATGTATTAAAAATAACTTATACAATCTGGATAGTGTGACTCAGTGGTTGAGTTTCAACCTATGAACTAGGAGGTCATGGTTTGATTCTAGGTCAGAGCACATGCCTGGATTGCTGGTTTAACCTCCAGTGAGGGCTATGCAGGAGTCAGCCAATCAATGATTCTCTCTCATCATTGATGTTTCTGTCTCTCTCTACCTCTCCCTTTCTCCCTGAAATCAATAAAGATATATTTTAAAAAATAACATTCAAAAATCTGTACACTGAAAATTGGCAGATTTAATACAAAGTTTAGAAACAATAAGTTGATTCCACAGTTAATAACAATTGATTTTAAAAATAATAAGTCTAAATTTTAAAACACTATGTTTTTATTATAGTGTAATGCTTTTATCTAAAAATATTTCAAAGTCAATTATCAGAGGACCCTGCTCTTTAATTACCAAAAATGATATATTTTGAATTTCAATTCCTGTCCACTTCCAGGCATCAAGGCCCATAAGCAGTCCAGCCTGCATGAAGAGCAAGAGACAAGCAGGTCTCTGTGAAAAAATCTTTATCACACAAACAATGGCCAATTAAAAACTCTTTTCTATTTACAAAAATCAAACCTCTACCAGTTCTCCTTTTCCATAGCATTAAAAGGTTTATGCATTCAAAATATATATCCATTTTCTTTTAAACTAGTCTATAATCTACACTTTTCAATATCTCATGTTTTCTATCTTTTTCATTAGTTTCCAATATATTTCTTTGATCATAAGCTGTAAGAACCAACCAAAAACATTTTCCAAATCATAGTATATTTGAAATTCTTGGCATAGACTAATAAAAATGAAAGTTGACTTACCAACAAATTTCATATAAACTAATCCAAGTAATTCTGCTAAAGCTATAATTCCCAAACCTGAAATCAGAAGAGGACCATGCATTGGTGTGCACTCTGCAAAAACAAATAAAATTTTACATTAGAGATTCACATGAAATAATGAACTTCTTAAAAGAAACAATAACAGTGATAAAATTAAGTTTTAGGGAGAGTAATTATTTTTCTCACTATCAAGAAACAAAAATTACCTAGATATGTATTATTAACTCAGTCAATGAAATGACTCCAAATTATTAAAATAAAAAAAAACCTTGTTGGCATAACATGTACCTTATCACATCAAGACTAATTGGAAATAGTTTGTGAAGCCTAAGCCTTTACACAATGTTTATTTTAAAAGCTCGTTCATTAATACAGGAAGGGCAGTTTGGTCATTAAACTAACAGCCCGTAAGCTATATACAGCCAACAGAAAAACATTAATCTCAGTGGGAACAAAATGATACCGTGTTTCCCCGAAAATAAGATATCCTCCGAAAATAAGACCTAGCGCATGGAAAAATAAGACATCCCCTGAAAATAAGATCTAGTGCATCTTTGGGAGCAAAAATTAATATAAGACACTGTTATTTTGGGGGAAACAGGGTAGTGAAAAATGAAAGAAGCTCACAACACTAAATGCTGATAAGAATGTAGAACAGAAATGTGCATTCATTGCTGGTGGGAACACAACATGGTAATTTACTACAAAACTAGATATATTCTTAACATGCAATCTAACAATTGCACTCCTTAGTATTTTCCCAAATGAAGTTAAAAAGACATGTCCACACAAAAACATGCATTTCTATATTGTGGGTCTAGTTCTGTGATTTTATAACAAATCAATACCTTTCCCATTTACTGAAAGCAAGGAAGATGTCCCTCAATAGGTGAAGACATTTTGGAAAATGCAAAACTATGGAGGCAGTAAAAAGATCAGTGGTTGCCAGGGGTTTCTGAATAAGGAGGATGAATGGGAAGAGCAAAGAGGATTTTTAGGGCAAATAAGCTTTACTATATGATATTCTATGACTATGATCCATGTCATTATCTATAGATATAAAAGCCTAACCAACTCTTACAACCAAACAACTGGAATGATGTGCACTGACCCAGACCTTTTTGCTGGGGCCCTGACAGCCATGAATCTGGTTCACCCGCATCTGAACCTAGATAGAAAGGAGGAGGGAGCCCGATTTCTCACAGTATGGTTGGTTAGCTGGATGCTGGGGCCAACCTCCTGCGGTCCCTCCCCCAAATCAGCTGCTCTCCCCACCCCCACCCCATCACCTCCTATCGCTGGCTAGGCCAAGGGAACCTACCCGTGCATGAGTTCATGCACTAGGCGTCTAGTACATTTATAAAAATCATAGAATGTACAATACCAAGATAAACCCTAATATAAACTACACACTTTGGGTGATAACGCTGTGGCAATGCTGATTCAACGGACTATAACAAATGAACTACTTGGTGGGAGATGTGATAGCGGAGGAGGCAGTGAGTAGATGAAGTAGAGGAAAACTCTATTTTTCACTCTATTTTCCATGAACCTAAAATGCTCTAACAAATACAGTCTATATATTTAAAACAGAATAAGAAGAACAAAGAAAAGGAAAGAGAAAAAGAGCTCTATGAGATACTACTGATAAGAGAGGAATTGTTTAGAGAAGATTGTGACCCTTACCTGAGACACAGAGGCTTAGTCCGACCACAGAGAGCACAAAGCCCAGCACCTGAAGGATCAATATGGTGATGCTGAACGAGGACATCCCAATAGCTGGAGCTTCAAGGAAAAAGGATGTTGCAAGTGTTTAAAAAGCAATAACTTCCACTTGTATTTTGTAGTCAACATCAGTATTCTAGGACCAAGGAGCTCCCTGTCAAGTGGTGGCTGCTTTCCCAGTGACCTAAGCTATCTCTGTCCACTCCCGGAGTCAGCTCCACATTCACAGCCTCAGCAGCCTTCCTTTCATTTTTGCAGGGAGCTAGGCTGGATTGGCAGTTTTTACCCCAGATCTTAGAACAATGCTGCTTTTACCACACGTGTGTGTTTCACAATACGAGTGGCTATTAGTAGGGCTTCACCACATACACACAATATCGCTGTGGTGGAGAACCACTGTGTAAGCCATGTCATTGTAGTCATCATAACCCCTAATTGTGTTTTAGAACAAATTAATACCATATTAATATATAGCAACCCAGAGATAGGCTCTCATACCAAGAGTTAAATGTGCAAATGGAAAAAATAGATTCTTTAATAATAACAAAAATATTTAATGATTTACTCCCAAAATGTAGTGGAAATTGTTACCGATTATAGGTTGGATAGTTCTATCATTTTTTAAAACTAAAATGTTAAGATTTGCAATAACTATGATTTACAACCCTATTTTGTATAACTAGTTTTTTTAAAGAGAGTTTTAGCAAAATAAGAGAACAAGAATGTTAATATCTACTTATAACTTCAAAAACTGAAATAAGAATATGAATATCATCATTAAGAAATTATATAGCATAATTTTTAAACTGCACTATTGGCATTAATATATCTCTGAAAATCACTTATTTTTAAATAAAATAAATACCTTGATAACCTAATATAACATTAAAATTAATCCATATAGGGAAACATTTAACTAAAAATAGCTTTTATTGTATTATAAAAACCTAACTCTTATTGTATTATATAAAATCACACAAAAATATTTTAATCAAAATGCTGCTTTTTAAATGAAAAAGGGCACAAGCATACTAAAACAGCAAATACTTACCTATCATAAATACAGAGTACTGAAGTAATATTAATATCACTGTAGGAACTACAATTAAACCAAGTCCACTGGCCCTCTTTGTTGAATATTCACCTGTTGATAAATAAAACTAACATTTAAAATATTTTCCTACTTAGTTCCTACTCTATCAAAAGTTAAAGTACTCAATTTATTAAATGTATTCATCTCAATACTACTCTTATAATTTGCAAAACATTTAAAAATAAACTGTTACCCCCAAACCTTACACAAAATAAGTGGTGACTTTTTTTTTTTTTTTTTTTTAAGACCAAACTGAAGACATCTAAATGTCAACATCTAAGTCTCAACATATGGAAACCTTCCACTGGCTTTGCCTCCCTTTTAACTACCTTGGAGCCTCTTACCAATCCCTTCCTTTGCTTATTTAATCTGTCCTAAAGTCAAAACAACCATTCTTTGTAGTTGTCTTCTTAATTCATCTCTTTCTTCCCCACACCCTCACTAACTCCAGCTGCAAAGAGAGCTGCCAAATTTCTGTTCCTAAACATTAGACCCATATTGTATTCTGTTAATAAAATTAAGGCTTTCTACTGTCTCCACTTTGAGTCCCAGCCTATCCCAGCTGTTCTTTCCATGGGCTGCATATCCTCATTTCCCAATCTCATTCCCATCTTCCAAAGGCAAATGCAGTTTCAGATTGATTTGTTTCCCATGTTCATTCCCAGTTCCATGTCTTGGCCTGTGAAGTTTGCCTTTGCAGTGGGTTGAACGGTGGCCCTAAAGATCTGCCTACCTCCTAATTCCTGGAAGCTGTGAATTAGGGTGAGCATTACATTACACAGCAACACATATGAAACAATTTAGGATCTTGAAAGAAGGAACTTATCCTAGATTAACAACGTGGGCCTAAATTCAATAAGTGTCTTTAGAAGAGAGAGGCAGAGGAGTTTTAACACAGTGGAAATGGGAGTTATGCTTCCAGAAGCCAAGGAATTGCAGATTGCTAGCTAACACCAGAAAATGAAAGCGGCAAGGAATGGATTCTCCCCAAGAGTCTTGGGAGGGAGTATAGTTATGATGTCATCTTTATTTCAGACATAAGGTTTTCAGAACTGAGAGAATTGCTATTGTTTTATAACACACAGTTTGTGGTTATTGGTTATAGCAGCCCCACCCCCAACTATGTTCTCAAACTTGTCAGCCCTGATTTCCTCATAATAACTGTACGTTTTACCTGGGACGAAGAGGATGGCTCCAACAATGACAAATGTAGTCAGCACTAGTCCAGCCACAAATAAAAGAATGGTTTTCTCCTTCGTAACACTGGCATTATATTTAAGTGCTTGAATAAAATAAAACACACACAAAAAAACATTTTTTTTTTTTAATTCCATGAATTCAGTCTCAAGAAGTGAAGCCATTTCTGTAACTTAAAAAGTGCAAAGACAAACTGATAACTTCCTATAATCTAATAACATTTGAGGAATAACTCCATTATATCATGTCAAGCCACCTCAAATCTTTTTTTATAAATCAGTCAATGACTAAACAGTTTCAAGGCAGTATATATATAGATGCTGAATTTATGGGTAATACTTGCATTCCCCTTTACTTTAAAGATGAAGTCATATACACCATGCTTTCTCAATTTGGGGCATTATTAACACTTAGGGCCAGGTAAGTCTTTATGGCAGAAGGGGGTTGCTTTGTACATTTAGAAGGTTCAGTAACACCCCTACCTCCCTCCAAACTGCATACCAGTAACAGCCCCAGTGGTATCAATCAATTGTGAAATGTCCCCTGAAGAGTAAAACTGCCTCAGCCTTACAACTGATATAAATAATGCTGATGGGAAGTAACTGGCTAAATGGTAATGCTGAGAAAAAGAGAACTTTGTTCCATCTTATATAAAATTAGTAAAGCATCAGGAAATCTAGATTTTTTTTGAAAAATAGAATAAAATTAGACAAATAATACCCTCTTGATATCAGGAGGGAAGGGAATGCTTAAATTGTTCAACTAAAGTCTATATATACTAGAGGTCACAAAATTCATGCACAGGTAGGTTCCTTAGGCTTGGATGGCAATCAGGGCCGATCTGCGAGGTGACAGGTCGGGTGATCGGAGGGCTCCCACTGGCACCTGCTTTGGCTGGCCTGGTGCCACCCACTTTCCAGCTCTGCCCCCCACTTCTGTGGGCTGGGGGCAGCTCCTGTGAAGAGCATCGGCTCCCCTGGTGGTCAGTGCACATCATAGCAACTGGTCGTTTTGCCAGTCATTCTGCTGTTCAGTCTATTTGCATTTTAGGCTATTATTATATAGGATAAAAGGCTAAGCGACAGTCCCACTGTCCAGTAGCTATGACGCATACTCACCACCAGGAAGTAGAGGCTCAATGCAGGAGCTGCCGAGCTGTGGTCACTTAGCAGCAGCAGTTCTTGGGTGACACACCCAGAACCAGAGAGGAGGGAGCCTGACTCCTCGCAATTCCTCTCGCACTTTAGGACCCCTTGGGCGATAGCAGAGAGCCAGTTTTGGCCCGATCCCTACAGGTCAGACCGAGGGACCCCACCTGTCAGAGGGACCCTGCTCACTCTGCAGATGCCCTTCAAGCCTCAGCGCTGGCCCAGGTGTGGCTGGCGGGGAGGGAATGCAGGAGGTTGGCTCCAGGGCATGTCTGATCTATCTTGCCCTGTTCCACCCTGCCAGCCACCACCTGGGACTGCCTGCATTAGTCCTTGCACTGAAGGGACTAATCAATTTATTTTCAATGTGCAAGAATTCATGCACAGGACACTAGTAATTTCATAAAAATAAACTACTAATACTCACTAGGACTCATTAACTTTACTGTCAAGTACCTGGTAGGAAAGAATAATGTAATGGATAAGTCTAAAAGTATTATTTCTTTTACTATACTTTCACCCTAGGGGTTTTGTTTTGGTTAATATTAAAATTAATTTTGTACCAAAAGAGTTGTTAAAAGTAACCTAAAACCAGACTGAGTAGCAGAGAGAAACAGTGCATGACTGAAATTCTGTTGTTTCATCTAGGCCATTAATCAATGTCTTGAGGGGGAAATTTTAAAAAATGTTATATTTAGCATTAAATTTACTTCCACTAAAATGAAAAACAGATTAAATACAGTAAGAACAACAAGAACCCCTAAATGAACATGATAAAATCTATTTTGAAGGTATTATGACCTAGGGTTATACAATAAGCTATGGTTGACATATTTCAGGTATAATAAAAGACATAAAAATCACTACCTACTCATACCTTATATCCTAAACTTCTACCTTATTCTCATTAGGTGGGGTGAGGGATGGAGAGGTAATCAATCATCAGTCCTGAAGCTGACTATCTGAAATCCACACTAATCAGCAAAGAGTGAAAACCAATATGATAAGTTCCCCAAGTTTTCATTTGATCCATCCAGCTTAGAACGTACCCCTCAGTTACCTAAGTCTTTACTCAGCATGGCTCTGCCTTCAAATAGAGCACAGATTCTCAGATTCCCTATTTTCTAGCACTGGTAAATATATGATGAAAGCACTGGTAAATATAAAATTCAGTGTATATCTTATAAAAGGCACACAGACACAGATAGAAAAATAAACTTCCTCTAGACATATGTCAAGTTTTCCATTTAATTCAATGCATATTGTTATGTAATGGAGCTTGTAAGTTCTACAAAAGAGTTATGAAACAGAAGCTGTTTCAAATATACTTCACAATTAATCAAACATTAAAAAACACTCTTCCAGGCTTAACTGAATTCATAAAAGAACTACTAAGATCAAGCAGCAAGAATACACCTTTAGAGTATAGTAGAAGTTCATGCAAAAAAGGCTGACTTAATTAGAGTTTGATTCCATATAAAATTCAACCTTTTCAAGCTTAGAAGAGTTTTAGGAGAAAAATAATACCAACATTAGCAACAAAAATAAAACACCACAAAAATACTACGATTGACAGTGTTTTAATATAGAACAACCTTTTCAAGACCTTTGCATATAAATATTGGAGGTAGCTTTAGTTTCTGTTGATTCGTTCAACTATTTATTACCTCCAAACCCTCCCTTAAATTAGGCAACTACTTTTTGTTGCTGTTGTTGTTGTTGTTGTTGTTAATCCTCACCCATGGATATTTCCCCAATGATTTTTAGAGCATGTGGAAGGGAGGGAGACACACAGAGAGAAACATGGAATGAGAGAGACACATGGATTGGCTGCTTCCCACATGTAGCTCACCATGACCAGGGATAGAGCCTGCACCCAAGGTATGTGCCCTTGACCAGAATAGAACCCAAAACCCTTCAGCCTGTGGGCTGATGCTCTCTATCCTTTGAGCCAAACTGGTTATGGCTAAGCAACTATTTCTTTTTTAATTATTATTATTATTTGTTATTGATTTCAGAAAGGAAGGGAGAGGAAGGGAAAGACAGAAACATCATTGATAAGAGGGAATCATTGATAGACTGCCTCCTGCATGTTAGACCGAGCCGCAATCCAGGCATGTACCCTTGGCCAGAATCGAACCTGGGACCCTTCAGTCCACAGGCTGATGCTCTATCTATTCAGCCAAACTGGCTAGGGCCTAAGCAACTATTTCTAACAAATACGTAAGTGAAGTCTATTTAATTAATCACAGGCAATGAAAGAGGATTTCCATGTTTTGTTCAGGTAAACATTTAAAAAGAGTTTCTTTTGACACATTTTCTTTGCCACAGTGGTCACATTTTAGGTCACAACTGGACTACAAAACACAAAGAATGTGTTTTGTAGTCCAGTTGTCAATTTTTTTTCAATGTCACCAAAGAGTTTGCAATCTGATATAGATGCTATAGAACTCAGTAATTACAAGTATCTTTTTTGGGTGATCTTTATTTGTCCTTTAACAGGTAGACTATACTTATCAAATCTATAAAAATTCTAAATTCAAACAAAGAAAATAAATTCAAGTAACTCCACAAACACTTAGCATTAAGATAAAGCTAATTGAATGTGTCCTTAATGGGCTCTTATCAAACTTTCCAGTATGGTTTTCAGGCTTTTTGGCAAGACAATTATGTAATTTTAAAAATATGTATACTTTAAAAGATTCCCTTCAACTAAAAATCACTGAATTCAATACACAAAATAAAATATAAGAAATAACAGTAATTATGCTTTCTAAATACTTTTCAAGCACTGTCTTCGACTTACAACAAAATTTAGAGGGAGGTATAGGGTACCCCCCTAAACTCCTGTCCCACACATGCACATCCCCTCCCCCCATCAATATCACCCACCAAAATGATACAATTTTTATCAACATGAACCTACATTGACACATCATAATTACCCAAAGTGCATAGTTGCCTTAGGGGCTGTACATTCTATGGGCTCACACAAATGCAAATTGACATCATTTTAGTACAGAGTATTTTCACTGTGGTAAATGTCCTCTGGCTCTGCCTATGCACTCTGCCTGCACCTACTTCTAGGAATGACTGATTTTTTTCAATGTTTCCACGGTTTTGACGTTTTCAGAATGTCTTTTAGATGGAAACAAACAGTATGTAACCTTTTCAGATTGGAAATATGCATGTAATAGCTCATTTCTTTTTATGTGGACATATCACAGTACATGTTGCCACTCACCTACTGAAAATCATCTCGGTTGCTTCTAAGTTGTGGCAATCATGTAGAAGCTGCTATAACTACCCATGTTCAAGTTTCTATGAGGACATAAGTTTTCCACTCCTTTAGGATAAATACCAATGAGCACAATTGCTGGAACATCATATAAAAATTAATTTTGTAAAAAAAAAAAAAATTGCCCAACTGTCTTCCAGCATGGTTGTACCATTATGCATTCCCACCCGCAATGTAGGAGGTTTCTGTTGCTCCACATGTTGTCAGTGTTTATATTTTTTAAACAAAACTTATAACCTTAGTGCTATCTGACACAGGGAAACCAAAATCATTGGGAGACAAAATTAAATTTTTGTGAAAAACTTAAGAATTTTAAAGTTTTCACTAAATCTAGCCAGCCACATCTCAGAATGAGCTAGGTTGTGTCCTTCATTTATTCTATAAATGTTTATTGTGTAGGTACAATGCACCTTCATTTATTCTACAAATGTTTATTGTGTAGGTACAAATGTTTATTGTGTAGGTACAATGCATTTTTATTAGTCCATTGCAACCAAATCAAGTAGATTACTTTATCCAAGAATTGACTGAGCACCTACTATGTCATGATCACTATTCCAAGTGCTGCCTCGAGACCCTTAGTTCTGATGTGTGAGTGAGTGTCTGTGTTTGGGATAGGGGAGAAATGAATGACCAAAA